TAGATCTAGTGTTAGTGTTTTTTTATTAAATACAGAAAAATTAGTATTTTATATGGTTAACTGGTTAAATACATGTGTTGTTTTGTTTCTCTTGTCCATGATAGGGACAATGACTTAACGCCTATCGAGGGTGGTCAGCTTTCCAACAACAAAGTGTGCTCCGGACACTCTAGTAACCGTTGTGCGAATAATAGTAATAATAATAATGGTAACAATAACAATAACGTGGGTGGCCCGCTGATGTCCGCGGTGGCGCATCTGAACGGTCAAGTGAGCGGTATGAGTGGTAGCCGGGGGTTGGCGGGCACGTCGTCGCACACCGGCGGCGCGGCGTCCTCGAACTCGATAGTGTTTAGCGCGGCCGAGCCGTGCAACCCCCTGCCGTCGTTGACCACCAGTAGTAATCCGTTCAACCACTTTTCGGGGAACATGGACTTGGAATTCGAGCTGTTCCCCAGTTCCACCTGGGACTTGGACAGCAGCAGCGGGTGGGCGGATAGGCCCGAGTCGAGAGCGAGCGGGCCACCGAATTCACGACCATCCTCCCAGCCAGCCCCGACATCTCCGAGCCCCCAGGGGACCTTCTCTAATTCGGCGGTGGCGCCTCACTGCAGTCCCCTACGCGCGTTCAGCCCGACCTCGGCCAACGCCGCTCACACCTTCAGTAATTCCTTCTCCCTCAGTCCGCTTCAGGAGACGACCTCCTCCTTGACGAACAGCGCCGCTAGTAGTAGTGTTAGTGCCAACGGACCGGCGCCCGGATTGACGGCCAAGAGGCAGGACGAGGGGAAGAGCACCACCGCGACCGGTTGCCCGCCCGCCGCCAACCAATCCGTCATCGAGGGAAACAACGCGAGGACCAATAATCCCGCCTCCACGCCGCCTGTCGCGCCCGCACCGGCCCAAACTACCGCGACCGTTGTCGAAACTCAGAACAGTGTCGTGTCCACCGAGTCCGGTAGACTGAGAAACTTGTTGACCAAGGGCGGTAGTGCTAGTGAGGAAACTCAGGACAATACGAGTAACGATACCGAGAGCCAAAACAAGCATAGGATATTAAAGATTTTGTTGAATCAACAAGATGAGGACGATTTTCATCCGGAGCATAATAACAAAGTGCGCACGAGCCCTAGCAACATGCCCAAACCGAGCATCGACCATTCCAAATCGTCGCTTGGAAATAATATGCTGTTACAGGTAAACCGCTCGATCATTGCCGTTCTCATATTTCCCTGAGTGTGCGTCCATCTCTTTCCTTGCTTTTCCAACTTTCTTCCCTCTGTTTACCGATCGACCGATATCCGTCGATCCATCCATCCATCCGTTTCTATGAAATTTTCAATCTTTTTCTGTAATTACACTCGATGCGATTTATTTGTTGTGAAGCTATTGAACGAAAAGAACGACGACGAGGACGAGGAGGCTCGCGCTGGCTTGAAAAAGAGAAACGAACTGTTGCAACAACTTTTGAAAGATCAAGACGATGAGAGAAAAGTACAGGAACAACACGTGAGTAATCGTATTTTTCATACTCCAACATTTTCTCTCCCTGTGAAAATAATTCGATAAATGTTTTTCCTCTTCTCCTGAAACACGTTTGTGAACGTTAAGAATTCTTATCGCGTCGATTAATTGTACGACATGAATTCGAACAGTGTAAGCCGCAAAGGGAAGAAGATTCTCTGTTACGAAATCTTGGTTTTCGGAACACCACGCCATCACCGTCTCAATCGGGTGACAACATTGGGCACAGTTCCAGCCAGGTTGGTCAGAAGAGACCCGGCGAAGATGGCGACTTGAACATAGCCGCGAAGCGACCTATGGATGGGTCTCATCAAGTTTCTTCTTCCGGCACGTCTACGAATGCGACCAGCAAACTCTGGGAGAGGAATAAAATGTTAGCTTCGTTGTTGGCTAAGCAGCCTCCTCAGCCAACCACAATACCGCCAATACCTGCATCTGTGATATCGGCAACACCACAAGTAAATATAATATCGTAATACGTTGGTCGATTGGTGTCTCCTAGAGCTAGAAATGAACAAAAACAAAAAAAAAAAAAAAAAAAAAACAAATCGAACCATTAATCGATTTTCTCGTTTGTTATTTAAGGATAAGCTGGTTCGCATAGGATTGAAATCGCAACAGCCACAGCCACAAACACAGTCTCAATCGCAGCAACAACAGCAGCAGCAGCAGCAGCAGCAACAACAGCAGCAGCAGCAGCAACAACAGCAACAGCAGCAGCAGCAGCAGCAGCAACAACAACAGCAGCAACAGCAGCAGCAACCTTGGACAGGTAGCAGTATGCAGTCGGTCGGTGGCAATAATACGATTACGACAACCGCAACTTCTGCACGAACACCGCTCCAAACACAGTCGAGACAACTACCTCATCGTCAAACAACCAATACCTACCTCACTCATATGCTAAGTCAGGTAATAATGATCGTGTATCCTAAAAATAATTGGATACGCGATGAAACAAATAATTATTGTTGTTCGTTGCATCCTTTTTACAGCAACAAAGACCTCAAATGGGTCAAATGGATTCGGAATTTACGAGCAGCGGAGAGTATCGTCAAACGAGCACGGATCTTAATACTTGGGATAATCAGTCGTCGGATCCCGATCTTTCCGATATTTTAGATCAAGTTATCGAGTTCGTTCCGGACGAAGCTATTACAGGTATTGAATTGAACGTCATTGTCGCTAAAAGCACGAATCGTATCTAATCTAATATTCGTCTTTTCACATTTTTCACATTTTGATTATTCGAAGTACATAACTCTATACCTTCGCTGTCACGGCGAATAATATTATTATAAACCTTGCGATTTCGCTTCTTTCTTCTTAATCGATGTCTCTTCGTCTCGAGATATTTGCTTATACAGCGATAAGCTAACACACTCGCGGGGAGTGTATTTGGAGTTATGCGTTAATATGTTACGCGTGACAGCGAAAGTAATTACCATTATAGACGATAATTTTTATTCAATAGATTCGTCTGCGATAGCAAATCTCCTAGATGTAACCGAAGCGCCGCAAAACAACGCGATGAACGAGACGATGGCGATAAACGCGATACAGAAGTCGTTGATGTTATGCGAGACTGCCGTAAATCCAACGTCTTCCACCATAACAATTCCTAGCACGCCTCCAGCTTATTCCACCGCAGTAAGTCGATACCCTTTCTCCGCGTATATATTTTTATTATATCGCGCTCGTAATAATCGTTTATATACTTTTACCATCGACCGTTCCGATAATTTCAATTTCAAGTCGAGTGTACTTGTTGCAGCGTGTTGTGTAACGACGAGTTATATCGTTATAATTAATATCTACATATGATATGATGTAATTCTAGTTGGGTACCACACCCGTAACGACGAGTCATAGTTACCAGCCACCTCCTATGTATCAGCAACAACCGAGGATGAGGTTTAACACGCAACCGGGGATCAGGCAGACGACTGCTCAATTTACGCAACAGCAACAATTACAATTGCAACAACAACGGACGAAATTGATACAGCAGCAGCAGCAACAGCAACAACAATTGAAACAGAGGTTGCTGCAACAACAACAGCAACAGCAATTACTCATTCCTTCCAATGCTACAGCTCCGGAACAAATTACTACCATTCACAATATCGATAATCTTCTGAATAATACTGTTGCGCCAAACGTATCGTTACAGGTAATTACATTATTAAAGTAAAAATTACGATTAATATATAGGAACAGAAAGGAAAAATTCTATTTATTTTCTGTCTCGTTCGATCGTTTCTCCAGCGGTCGAGTGTACCAGATTCACAAGTGTCTCCAGGTTATGGGGGATCCGTCCAAATGCCTTCCGGTCACCGACTTGCACATTCTTATTCTCATCCTTCAACGTTACCACAACAGTGAGTAAACTCGATCAATTATTACGTAATTGCTTTTTTTTTTTGTTTATGTAACGATCTCTTCTCCCCCCTTAGCCCTATCGTAAACAGTAATTTTAACAGTGGTCAACAAGTGTCTGCGGCAGCACGACTCTCGCCTCATTCTTCCGCTGGTATTTTGTCATTTTCGCATCCGCAACCGTTGTCACCACGTGTGACGCAAGTACGTATCAAGAGTCGTTTAATTAGACTAGGCGTCCTAAATGCCTATTGCGTAGTTTCATTTGTATTTTTAAGTTTTATTTTTATTTAATCGAAAGAGCGATGCCTAGTTTCTTAAAATAAAATTTTTTCTTTCTTTCTTTCTTTCTTTTTCTTTTCTATTAATTACAATTAAACTACGAATGATACGAATATTCAATTTATTCTTTCACGTTTTATGATAAAGGGCAACTATGGTAATACCCCGAGATTATTCACCGTTAACCAGGTGAGAACGCAGCAACAATCTACCGCCCAGCAACAATTGCAACAACAACAGAGATCGATGCCGTCACCAGGGACTCCGGCATCTGCTCGGCAATCTCCGTTTCCGGCGGAAACTTTCCCTCCACCCACATCTCCCACCGCTACCCAATTTCCACCTGGCCCTAACCCTGGTGCTCCGAATCCTTCTGCCCAATATCGATTGCAACGGACCACGTCTACACCTTCGGCCACGACTCAATTGCCAGGTAGATTGATATTCCGTTTCAAATTTTTTTATCGTCACTATTATTATTGCATATTACCAATATTTATATCGAGACTTTTTTTCGCTCATTGTTATAGGCAGTACATTTATTACGTTTCGAATTATATATTGTCGATCGTTATGATATTTTTTTTTTTTTAATGCGATTGTAAAATGTAAAATTATGCTATTAGTAGTTGCGAATTGAATCGTTAAAGAGTTTGTAAACAATTTTTAATGCGTAAGATATTTGTGTAATTATAAATGTTAATTTTAATTTATCTCTATGTATTTCGTACAAAGCGTTCAAAAGTTCATAAACAGTGATCGCGTTGTGATTTCGTATCATCGCGTCGATGTCGTTATTCGTATGTATATACTTTATATTAGTGCGGTTAATCTTAAGCATTTATATAAGTAAATATGCATATACGAACGAACGAACGAACGAACGAAAGGTGTGATTTAAACAAATATTTTTTCCAATCTAGGTAAGTATACAAGCGATTATACGAATTATGTATATTTTTGTCCTATATATTCAAAGATATAACGATATTTAAATTAGATAGAATTAGTCGTTTTTTTTTTTAAATCAATAACTTTTATAATATTTTCTCAACAAAATATTACTTCGATTAAATTTCTTTACTATTTTTCAAGTTTTTTTTTTTTAAAAGAAATTATACCGTTTAAGTGATTTTTAGAATCGATAATTTATTATATTATTAATTACGAGATATAACTGAAAAAAATGTATTATATTGTATTAGGAGAGAAAAAAAAAAATAATAGGATTTGATATCCGTATCAGCGTTTAAACGAAACTTATTAAATCATCGATGATCGAAGCAAAGGGTATCATAATATTATATACGTATCGAATCTCGATCGAAGCGGAACATGGAGGAAAACTTGGTAGAAACGTTATAACGTTTTTTTGCTATAAGATGGATGGAACAGAAGAAGATAGACAAGCTTGATGTTGCAGGTGGGGTAGGTTCGCCCCGGCACTACGGCGGAGTGAGTAAGGAACAACCCCTTCTTTCACCTAGTCATCCACATTCGGGTTGCAACCCGGCAACACCGACTCATAATCAACACAACGTAACGAATACCCAACAACACTTCTCCAATCAACAACATTCTTCTATGATATACCACACCGCCAATACTATCAACACAGCTGACATGCAGAACAATCAGTTCTGTTACGATCGGACGACTGTTCCACTATATTCGTCAGGGCCTGGGGACACGCAGGACGCCAGGCCTTTGCCTCCCGGTAATCCTGTCAATCACCAATTGGGTGGTAAGTCATATGACCACTTAATGTCATGTGACCATCACTTCGTCATCATCACACCCCCTTCCGTATACGCCCTTCTTCTCTGTATCTAAAGTACCCCCCCTCTCCCTCGTGTCACGAGATCGAGGCTACGATGGCATGAGATATTCATTCCGTTCAACACCGTTCTTTTTTCTCTCTCTCTCTGTCTCTCTCTCTCTCTCTCTCTCTCTCTCTCTCTCTTCTCTCTCTC